TCTCAAGTGCGCGCCATCTCTAATAATTATTAATTCAGGTTAGAAATGAATACATTGTGGCCCAATCGTACTTTTGATTTATATGAGCTCGACTTGCGTCAGCATATATTGGGTTGAAAAGCTGAGAGGATGTAAAAATCCTACTTACTATAAAGCGCTTCGTCTGTCGTCTGTCTGTCGTTCTGTATGTCTGTCACGAAATTCCCTAGCTCCTCGGGATCCGCCTGGAGGGACCGGGTCAAGTGTGGATGGGTGGGCAAGGTCTCACGAAATACAAAACACACATCAGCTAAGCGGAGCCCCGCCCACAGAGGGCGTGGCGTGCGTCGAAATGAATTGTACCGAAGACCAAGATTTCGATTTCAGTGACAAAACAACCTCGAAACTGGGCCAAAAAGTGGGTAAAGGTGTGCATTGGTAAGTCACATCGAATTAGGGAGACCCCGGTGGGCGGGGCGTTCTCCAAAAAAGCAGTGCTTTATGAAAAATTTCATAACTCGGTTGGGAGAAAGCCTACAGAGCAGAAAACAATTGGTGTAGGGGAGCAATGTCTAAGGTGTTTCCAGCATACATGACGTGGGCGGAGGCCCGCCCACAATGGGCGGGGCGCGCTCTGAAGTGTACAGCATTTTCTACAAGTCCTCATAATTCGGGCCGGGAAGTCTTAAAGAGCCGGAAAAAGGTGGATAGAGGTGGGTGGAGGAGTCAATGGTGGGCGGGGCTTGACCAAAGTGGGCGGAGTTTGCGACGAAAATTCATAACTCGGCTCCAAGAAGTCCCGGAGGCCGGGAAAAAGGTGGATGGAGGTGGGTGGAGGAGTGGAGGCCAGCTGTCATCGGTGGGCGGGGCTTGACCAAAGTGGGCGGAGTTTGCGACGAAAATTCATAACTCGGCTCCAAGAAGTCCTAGAGGAGGGAAAACGGGGTTAGAGGTTGGCGAAGGGAAAAGAGGTCAACTGCTATTAGTGGGTAGAGCACGCACCTAAGTGGGCGGAGTTTGCCAAAAGTGTCGTAATTTGGTTCCAAGAGGTCCCAGAGACCGGTGAAAAAAGGGGTAGAGGTCGGCGAAAGGAAGGGGGCCAAATGCTATTGGTGGGCGGGGCACGCACCGAAGTAGGACGGAGTTTGCCACGAGATTTATTGTCCGGAAGCAGTCCGGAGACCGGAAAAAGAGGATAATGGTTGACGAAGAAAAAGGTTGAAAGCCGTCGATGATGGAGCGGATAGAATTTAGCTGAGAATTCAGATATTCGTGGTGTATCAAGCCAAATTTGAAAATTTTCGTCGCACCATCAAAATTCGCCGCAGATCTGTGTTGTGCGCGCAATGCGTGCGGCGCCAACTGGTAATATAATAATTGGGGAATTCATTGTTTTGCGTGTTATTTAAAATGTGCATAACTTTTATTCGGGTCTGGATCAGGGGATCCCGACTTTGCCGTGGGTGCAATAGAGGCGTCATGAGCAGCATTGCGGGAGTGGGACGTGCACTAAAAATCGCACCGAAAGTAAGCCATGGCGACGCCATGTACTCGAGGATCGACGGGTTTCCACAAAATCTCTTATTCATATTCATGACGTGTACACCTTATGTTCAAAGGTTGGAAAGGAATCTCATCCTTGCGCAGTTTCGGATGTTTTTTAGTATTTATTATACATAATTAGCAAGTACTGACGGGTTACCTCGACGTAAACTCGCATTTCGTCCATGTCTTTTTCGTCATTGAACACTGCACCCGAAACTCTTCCTTCAAGATATCGAGGACCTTCTGAAAGTTCGAAGTGTAGGGACATGCGGAATATTCCCATTGTTGTTTGGGAGTTTTTACCACCCTTTTCCCATTGGTTTTCTTCTTGTTTCGAAACTGTGTGATAATTAGCGGAGGATAAAAAAGTCGTAGAAAAGTGTTGAAAGTGCGCGACAAAGGCTGTAGTCAGGGTTGAGTCCGTTGACAAAGTCGATGCTTCTAGGGTTGTAAGAGATGCCGAGTGATACTGTACGCCACGTGAGTAACTACAGAGATCGCTGCAAGGGGTTCGAATGCGCGTGCGGAGAGTCACGTAGGGCCAACGTCGGTCCAACGTCGGTCCAATGTCGGTCCAACATAACGGTTGAACCTGGCTGTAAGCCTTGCCAATTAGCCCACTCACTGGCGCTGACTGATATTATTCGCTGCCTTGCGGTTGCTTGTCTGCACTCTCGTGAGACGTGCACTCTCGCAAATTCCCTTTGCTTTTGATGGTAGCTTTGATGTGTGAAAACGAGATCTTTTGCCTTCTTCTTCCTTGGCGGTCTCCTTCACACCATTACATTATTTTCGAGCGAAATTCATACAATTTTCAATGCTAGAGTCTGCCTTGAGGTCATCCACCGTTTATTCATACAAAGGAAAGAACAAATTCTATAGAAGCTCATTTGCTCACGTAAAATAACTAACCTAATTTACTGTATTCCTCAATCAGTTTGATCAACTCGTTGGCATCAGTGGAGTTCGTAGGAATTTGGCTGAGAAACGGTAGGACGCCATCGTGTTCGTGAATTGTGTGGTGGAGCGACTCTTTTACTTTACTGATCTCCAGCTCAAAACCGTAACCATAAGTTGTTGTAAAAAGGAAGAACCCAACATGCAAGCGATGAAAAAGAGGCACTCACCTCTATTCTTGCTTTCACCCATGGGATTCGTTTGACAAGGGAGAAGAATCGAGTAAGTATTCGCCGTTTGATCCCTGTAAGGTTGAAAAATAATAAGCAGGTGGGGCATTATTATAATCACATTGAGGACCAATGCTGTTCGCACCATTGGGCAGTACAAGATGCCATCACAAAAATGCTCAGTTATGGGCGAAACAAGGCCTGAGCAAGGACCCAATCCCGGACTCGGTGCTTTTAAAGCAAAAGTGCTGATCACTGCATAACTTGCTCCATGCTTCACTTTAAAGGAATCTTGCGCGGAAAATTCTTGCACTCTTTCCTAACATGAATATGTCAGTTGTGATCACTGGAAATAGCACACAAAGTTTCACGCATGAAGATTCGGTTTCTGAAGAGAAACAAACGTACAAAAACTACACGTTATGGACCATCGAAGGACCAGGAGGCAGAGCCAGGCGAGGCATGGAAAGAAGACGGCGTTTGGCCGGCTACGTACCAGGCGACGCAATGAGAGAATCGGGTTAAAGCGCGCGATTTCGGAGAGTGGAGACAAATCGATCGATGGAATAGGATGGAGTAGAAGTGTAAGATGTGAATGCAACGAAGCAGAAGGCCAGAAAGAGCTTCTAGTGAATGCACTCCAAGAACCAAGTTTGAGCATCCCCGTCGCCAGCATTCGTGAAAGACGTCCGTGGGCAATTCGAACGCGTAGCAGCCTTTTCGAGTTTCGACGAATTTCTAATCGAAAACGAAAGCAATACTTCAGTTCTTTTCACTATTATCGTGGATAATGAGTCTCAAGCTAGTAATCATCTGTACATGGCGTGAAATTGAATCATGATTTTTCGCGCGCCGCAAAGTTCCTTTATACGGTCTCAATCTTCCTACGTCGTACTTACTCACATGTGCTCGTATGCTCACGTCGAGTTGCGGGTCTCTGTTGAAAAGGCGCAATGGAAACTTAACGTGTTATTTAGAAATCTGCTAGACATGTACAGTACTATGAGTTCCTCATCGCGCGTTCGCTTCCTATTCATTTTGCAAGAGCATTTCATTTAACACATTCACGCCGGTGGCAGCCCATATGACCTGCCAATGAGTTGGGTTGTGGGACGATGGCACCCTGCCAGCAAGAAAGGCGCGTAAGTACGATGAATGAGGATATATGGTGTCTGGCGCGCGGGTGGGAATCTCGTAGTCAAGTCTTACATCTCCTATAATACTCTCCTCAAGGTTCCGTGATCACGTGAATTGTATTAATCTCCTTCCCGGTACGCAAGTGGAAATCCATGTATAATCACGGGTTTATGATTAATATCTTGACGATTCGATAGCATTGTTAGGTGCGCGTCGGTGAAGTCGCTGGCAAAGAGTGTGTGGGCGTAAATATAGAGCGAATGCGAGCGTGTGCTAGAATTGATATATGTGTAAGAGACAAGATAGACTCCTGGATTGCGGCCTGACGCCCATCTGCAGCAAAGATATGATTCGCGTAGCTTACTACCATTAGGTGTGCACTCTTAGAGCGGCGACACCAGTTTTTTAATCGTGCGCGCAGTAGCCCCACCGGTTTTGAGCTTGTGGCGTGGAAGTGTAATTGTCTAAAGAACCGGCTAGATCTTTCTCTCGCCAATATTTTTTAATTACCTTCGATTCTCACGACCTATCGCTCAGAATCATATTCAAACTTGAAGCCATATACGGCTCTCCTCTCATTTCGCTCTCACTTTGTTCTCAAGCTGCTAAATATATATACTGCGACACCCCCATAACGACCCGTCCATCCTAAGCTCGCAAATGCGACCAACCATTCAAAATGTTCCTACAAGGCTGACTTGAAGGGATGGCTGACCATGTGTGTGAGAACCGACACACCGACTCAGCGGTTTGCACAACTTGCCACTTTGAGGCACGAGTTTCAGATTTGATTCCCTACTAAGACGAAGTTTTCCTCGTAACTCATTTGCAACTTGTATGAACTTTCTGGAAGTTATATAAATGATGACTGAAATATCAGACTACCTATGTCATCTCTGTGCATATTCCATAACTGCACTAATGCGTACGTGGACAGCATCGTTGCTGATGTCAGTACCACTGGGTCCACCAACTTCAGTGATTTAGTGATGTTGCCGTGGGCATGAACAAGAAAATCCGTGGCCAGCTCCATGACCTCCTGGAAAAATTCCTATTTTTACGTGTTTTGTTTTTTTCCTTGGCCAGAAAACTGATGAATCGAGTGCGTCGTGCCAATACATACACTATGAACGAATTTGGTGCATAGAAAATATTATGGAAAACGTAATACTATGGAAGAACCAACAAGAAGTTTTTGTCAGTTGAATTTCCTGTCATGTGTATAGAACTGAGATTGTAAGCGTATGACAAAAAATACCATTTATTTTTGTTTTATTCATTTATAGTAAATGGATTTAGTCACACTTTGCCTAGTTCGAGCAGGATACATCCTACCAAAACTCGAAGAGCACATTCCATATAATCTATTGGGTTGATGCATAATTTTTGCGGCTTTGTTTTTCAACAAATTTTATTAATCAAGCACGATGAAAATATTCGACAAAAACATGTCTAAATCAACTGTTCCAAAGCGTAGCCACCTCGTACTTCGAGAGCTACTTCCCATTCGCTTGACAGTCACTCACGTCCACGAGCGAAGAAGTCACGAATTCGCAGGCGATCCACACTTTAACATCTGCCACCAAGTCATCCAAATTGTAGTAATTTTGTTCGTTTGCCAGTTCTTCAACGGTGAAACTCCAGTTCGGGGGGGCACTCCATTTTTTCTCCAATACTCAAGATAAGGATTAGAGGGCTCACGACACGTAATCGACTCATTTAAAGTAGACTTCTGATAAATATTGGTGTAATGGGTGAGAAACCCTGAAACGTTTTCACATTTCCGCCTGCCATGACCCAAGGGAACGGTCCTGGACCAGGAGAAAGGACACCTCCGCAAAGGGCTAAGGGTGCAGGAGCTCCAGGGTGGATCACCTGTGCAGAAAAGTGGATGGGATGTGGGCAGGTAGTGTGGAATGTAGGACATCCACCGGTCCTTATCAAAAGTACGCTCGAAATGAGTCGTTCACTTATTATCTTATCCGTAGTGTTCGATAGCCCAAAGAACTGCTCTCTAGTACTACGGATAAGATAGCAATGGAGTGGCCCCCCGAACTGGAGTTTTTCACCTGGGTACCAACGACCGAATTGGTAGCTGCGTCTGTAGGAGCATCGATCGGTGAATGTGGCGGATGTGAAAGCAGATACCATCCCTTGGCAATCCCCAACCTGGCTTTTGCTGATTGTTTCCTCGCAGAGTTCATCAAGATCGCGAAATGACTCTGCTGCCTGCCGAAATTTCTGGAAATGGGGGAGCATAATGTGGCAAATATAAATATAACTTTCGATTTGCATGTATGTTGATGAAAAAAAGGTTATTTTCATGAAACAATAATAAAAAAAACCACCAATTCTTTTTTCAAAAAAAGCGTGCCGAAAAAAGCCGCTATACTTATGCATCAACCATTAAAAACGTTCACAGTGGCCGTTTACGTACAGTCCATATCTCGAAGTCGGGGAGGGCGGGGCTGCGGACTACATTGCGAGCGCGTCGGCGGTTGCGTGCCTATGGAAGTTTGCCGTGAAATGTCTGTGTCAATTGTGCAAAAACACTGCCTCCTTGTCTCTGCTTTCTCTAATTCTCCTCCATAGGCCTACAGTCACTAGGGTGCTCTTCCGTCTGGATGTCGCAGAGTATTGACGGCCGAATCAGCTGTTTTCTGCATTATTCGGTTTCAAACTAGTATTCTGCCACTCCGCCAGGCTTCCTTCAACAAGAGGTGAGTTATTCCTATCTAAGATAATATTGTTTTACAATCATATAGCGTGGTTGTTTCACAGTTCTTCATGTTTTCGTGGTGTTTTGGCCTAATACGTCATTTTATTCAGCTGCCTTCCTGAATTCCTTGACTTTTCGACTTGCTCTTCATTTCGGTGTCTTTGCTGTGTTCCGTTTTTTGTCTGGAACTCACACTGACACTGTTTTGAAGGTTGCAGTTGTTTTGAAAATTGAGTTTGTCAAGGTTCTGCTGCACTCACCACGATTTTTCCTGCCACGTGAGTTTCATTTCTTATTTTTGATTGTTTCTTTTTTTATTCGATGCGTTCTTCACTTTAGTGTCTTCTATGTGTTTCATTTTTTGTCTGGAACACTATTTGACACTGTTTTGAAGCTCGCAGTCGTTCTGAAAAGTGATTTTGTCAAGGTTTCACTGCACTCGCCACGATTTTTCCTGCCACGTGAGTTTTCATTTTTATTTTTGATTGTTTCTTTTTTTATTCGATGCGTTCTTCACTTTAGTGTCTTCTATGTGTTTCATTTTTTGTCTGGAACACTATTTGACACTGTTTTGAAGCTCGCAGTCGTTCTGAAAAGTGATTTTGTCAAGGTTTCACTGCACTCGCCACGATTTTTCCTGCCACGTGAGTTTTCATTTTTATTTTTGATTGTTTCTTTTTTTATTCGATGCGTTCTTCACTTTAGTGTCTTCTATGTGTTTCATTTTTTGTTCTGGAACACTATTTGACACTGTTTTGAAGCTCGCAGTCGCTTATAAATAAGTTTTTGTAAAGGCTACGCAACGTGGCTGCAGGCTTTGCCTGCTACGTAGGTTTTCTTTTTTATTTTCATTATTTCTTTTTTCCACTCAATGTCTTCGTTATTGTGGTACATTGTAGAAGTTTTTCTCGTGTGTAAGGTACTCGTTTGGGATGTTCTAAGACTTGCATTTCTTTGAAACCATGTTTCTTAGAGGAAGCGCTGTAGTAATAAGGTTTGTGGTTCTTCGAACTTCGTGAAACCTTGAACTTTTTGAGATTTGCATGGGAATTTTGCTCACAGAAACATAAGCATCGATTTCTAATTCTTTTGTTGTAGATATGGTGTTCCAGAATTCACAGGGAATCGCAGCAGTTATTTTTCACACCAGCTGTCGCACGCTTCCACTTATTTGTGTAAGGTGACATTATGCCATTTATGTTTCGCTCTTTCTCTTTGTGCATGATGGTCGTTGCTCTAAAAAGGTTTTGTTTTATAGTATGCTCGCCAGAAATGCATCCCTCTTTTTATGAACGGCTGTTTGATGGAATTGTTTCCCTTTGCGTGATGGTGTCTTGTCCAACATGAGGATCTCATTTGTTACTGAGAGGTTGACTGGTGGCGAGCATACTATAAAACAAAACCCTTAGAGAGCAACGATCATCATGCACAAGAGAAAGAGTTTCTGTGAGCAAAATTCTCATGCAAATCTCAAAAAGTTCAAGGTTTCACGAAGTTCGAAGAACCACAAACCTTATTACTACAGCGCTTCCTCTAAGAAACATGGTTTCAAAGAAATGCAAGTCTTAGAACATCCCAAACGAGTACCTTACACACGAGAAAAAACTTCTACAATGTACCACAATAACGAAGACATTGAGTGGAAAAAAGAAATAATGAAAATAAAAAAGAAAACCTACGTAGCAGGCAAAGCCTGCAGCCACGTTGCGTAGCCTTTACAAAAACTTATTTATAAGCGACTGCGAGCTTCAAAACAGTGTCAAATAGTGTTCCAGACAAAAAATGAAACACATAGAAGACACTAAAGTGAAGAACGCATCGAATAAAAAAAGAAACAATCAAAAATAAGAAATGAAACTCACGTGGCAGGAAAAATCGTGGCGAGTGCAGTGAAACCTTGACAAAATCACTTTTCAGAACGACTGCGAGCTTCAAAACAGTGTCAAATAGTGTTCCAGACAAAAAATGAAACACATAGAAGACACTAAAGTGAAGAACGCATCGAATAAAAAAAGAAACAATCAAAAATAAAAATAAAACTCACGTGGCAGGAAAATCGTGGTGAGTGCAGCAGAACCTTGACAAACTCAAATTTCAAAACAACTGCAACCTTCAAAACAGTGTCAGTGTGAGTTCCAGACAAAAAACGGAACACAGCAAAGACACCGAAATGAAGAGCAAGTCGAAAAGTCAAGGAATTCAGGAAGGCAGCTGAATAAAAATGACGTATTAGGCCAAAACACCACGAAAACATAAAGAACTGTGAAACAACCACGCTATATGATTGTAAAACAATATTATCTCAGATAGGAATAACTCACCTTCTGTTGAAGGAAGCCTGGCGGAGTGGCAGAATACTAGTTTGAAACCGAATAATGCAGAAAACAGCTGATTCGGCCGTCAATACTCTGCGACATCCAGACGGAAGAGCACCCTAGTGACTGTACCTATGGAGGAGAATTAGAGAAAGCAGAGACAAGGAGGCAGTGTTTTTGCACAATTGACACAGACATTTCACGGCAAACTTCCATAGGCACGCAACCGCCGACGCGCTCGCAATGTAGTCCGCAGCCCCGCCCTCCCCGACTTCGAGATATGGACTGTACTCCGGTCCATTGGCACTTTCGAAGTATGTGCTGCTAGTATCCCACAGATCTCGTACCAACAATTAGGGTTAGGTGTCTGCGATTATATCTGAAAGGTGAACCAGAGTCGCCTCCCATAGAAAATGTCTCACCGTCCGCTTGGTATAGTTCGATAATTACTTTATTTTCGCAAAGGCCGCGTCATAGCTTTGTGAGCAGTGGTGTTTTTTTTTTCGTGTACTGGTTGCAATTGAGAAAATTTTTTTAATGTCTGAGCCTTCTGATCTGCATCAACAGAGTCGTCGGTTCGCCGCGCTGATGGACGTGGCCACGACGTCGCCATCGCGTTGGACGATATTGCGCACATTTTCTGAATTCGGAGGGTAGAGGGACACTAAGAAAGCCTAAGCGGTTCCTTTCTATTCGAGTTCAGTCGATGCAGTCGAACCCAGTGTTCTATGAATCTCATTTAAAGTTACACTGTTTCAAAACAAGTGTTGACATAACAAATCTGTGGTAGGTGTGTGTGAGGAGGAGACGACGTGGCGGCGAAATGCTCTGTTCGCCTACTCCTCTAGGACTTGGTCCAAGTCACCACGCGGCACCACGAGAGGGAACGTTTTGATCCAAAGAATCAGCTGCCAATTGTGAAACTTGGCGGAGGCTTGATAAGGTTGCCTTGGAAAAAAGTGGGACCACGCTACACGACTGAGGTAGCGATGAAGGCAG